GTGATAGGCGCCGGTTTCTAGGGTTGTAGAACGTAGATAGGTTATTATATGGTCAATGAAGAAATAGAAGTCTAGTGACGAGCTCCCTGATCCCCTCCCATTGAAACCCAATAGGTCTACCATTACGGTTAGAACAGCTTCTAGCTGGGCAATGCTAGGAGATAGCCGAATGATAGTTCTGTGTGATAACAACTTGAGATTATTGAATGGAATAACGGTACGACGAAAGCTCCAGCGCAAGCCGAAACCAAAATAATGAAATGAAGGGGCTCTGGTGTCGACTTTGGCGGATGGGGAATCCGAAGTAAAGACGACAAAGTCCCCATCCAGAATCTGGACATGTCCGGTCATCAACTTGGTAGCAATAGTGAGTAGCAACGAGATTGTTATCGCGGTTTGACCGCGTAGGCCTCCTTCTAAGGCTATACTCAATCATAAGCTTGGCAGTAGTAGTCAAAGATGAAATGAAGTTTATCGTATTCATATCAATCAAGTACAACAACACTTCTCACGTTCCTATTTAGCTCCAGCCTTGACCTCCTTGGACTGATGGGCAAATATATCACCATCGTCGGCCGCCGCCATCCACTCTTTTGGAGCCTCCTCTGATTCTGAGGGGAAGAAGCAGTACTTCAACTATTATACACGATATCGAGTAACATCGCGGAGAACTGTACTCAACCGACCTGGTCAGGTGTACTGACCGTCGGCACCTGAGTTCGACTGAGCATTCCGAAACGATTCGCTGAGGGCGAATGCGTGATAATGGCTGATGTGTTCCAAGGCAGAAGCAAACGAAAAACTATTGATTCACGAATCGCCAGACGTGGTAGTGGAGTTTCCCGGATAGCCTACTGAACATGTTGCGATCAAAATCGCCAGAATCTTCAAATCTGGCCGTCGTGAGACGTGCATCACCGTCATAATTGCCGCCCTTATAGCTTCCGGGATGAGTCCTGCCAGACACGATAGTTGACACAGAAGTAGATCATAGAGAGAGCAGTGCCTTTCCTTTAGGGAGTGCTTGAGCACATTGTCCACCTTCCCCCATTGCCAAGTCTCGCCGTTATCTGTCCCTCCAGAGGTAGCCAGCCGAGTGTTTCCCGACAGCGGATCGTAGTAGTGGTAGGCGGACTCCTCCTTCTCGGTGGTCTCCTGAATGCCACTTCCCGGGACCTAACGCAGACACTGTCCAAAGGCATGGGGAACGAATTCGTCCTACATTGTCGAGGTTGTCTATGTCAGCCCCCATGTCGAGATCCTCATCGAGGAAATAGGTGTTGTGGGCTGTACTGAACTTGCTACCGATCGTGCCAGGTTTT